AAGGATAATAATAGTTATGCTTCTTCTTTTTTTTTTTTTTGTTGTTCAACAAGCTACCGCGAGCCAAACAAAAAAAAAGGTATTAACTGAGAGAGAAAGAGAAGAAAAAAATGCCTAACGAAGTAACTGTCCATTGCTTTCCATTTCTTCCTATTATCAATGTTATTTCATAAATAAGTTCATCCTCTTCACGTATGGTACACTTAAAAAGAAAACGTATGCTACAGCGTTCTGTCAACAGAATTTAAAAAAAAAAAAAAAACTGGCGGTCTATGACTGACCAAGAATTGTCAGGCCTGTACACGTACTTTAATTAACTGATTATACTTTCGATTTCGTTCCCTAGTTAAAGAGATGTTAAGCCTAAACGTGTATCACGTATCTTTTAAATAAGTGTCTGATCTAAAACAGAAAACTCACCACTCATGTGAACTGTATAATGTAAAAACAATACCGCGTGTGTGATTGACTCTTGAAAGAGAGGACTTCGCGAAATTTTTGAGAAAAAAAAAAAAAAGAGAAAAAGATATTTACAAGTTTACTTTACGAATAAAAGTCAATAAAAATACAGAATACATATAATTGTCCAGACTTATTTAAAAGATATGTCACCTCTCATCCTGCTTTTTTAAATACAGGAAGTATATCGAATACGTGCTAAATGGAAGGATCGTTTTCGACGTACGAGAGAAAAGCTTAGCAATCGGTTATTCGGATCGCAACTAGTGTGAAACCTCATCGTAGCTTATGCCTCTTCCTCCAATACTCGTATTATCAATATAGAGATACCACCTCTTCAATGCCATTCACGTTTAAAAGACAGCAAAAGAAAAAGAAAAAAAAATGAACCTTAAAAACATTACAAAATATTAATTGTATCAATAGACAATTGCCATTTAAGTTAAAAATATCATTGTTAGAATTCTGAAAGAAGAAAAGGAACAGCACTGATTTGTGGTATCATTCATACTCGTATAATTGTGTAGAATACTATGCCTGTGTAATACGTGTATGAATGTATGTATATCGTGTGTACGTGTGCGTGTGTGTATGTGTATATATTTATACGAGTGTGTTCATAAGGCTCCTTTGATAACGACTAACACTAAGTTGCTCCACTAATTACTGTAAGTGAATTTAATAGATTTGTGAAGTAGTATGTCAAGAGGAATCACTGATAAGAAGAATTAAAAGAGGCGGGGGTAGGAAAAACGAAGAAGAAATATGTAAATGCTGTGTATGACGTCGTGAAAGAGAAAGATAAAACGTTAATTTTTATCGTATGCCCTTAACTATACTCTATGTTACATAGACTAAATCTATTTTTGGCAAAGTTGTTTAGGTATACAATGTTAGATATAACGATACATGAGTAGATGCACTGGCCATCGTATTATGTGGTATTTAGGGTTGCTTAATACCTGTTTATTAACGTGTGATCTGTACATTCTGGAAAAAATAGATCAGTGATAACCCGCAGGAAAAAGTAACGATATTAGTCGATAATAAAAATCACAGTTTCACTTATACTGTTCGACAACACGAGTAATTTTGTATTATCTACACCGAGATACCCATTATTTTCTTCTTTTTTATCTTTTTATAATATGAGTATTAAAATGAAGCGAACAGAGAAAGGGAAGAAATTTAAAGGGTGGTGGTCATGGTATACGCGAACGTATTTGCACCTACAGCAATTGTGGAGCAATAAAATTTGTTATTTTTAACGTCCGGCATATAAATGAATGTTATCTAAGTATTACTTCCTGAAACTCTTGTATGTTTAAATTGTCGTCGAGAGAGCACGCAAACGAGTATTGTATGACGACAATCTATCCTACGTACCATCGCGTTTCTTTATTGCTTTCGGAGTCTTAGCTTATATGGTGGTGTGCTGTTTTGCCTATTTAAGTACAAATTATTGGGCGACTGCTTAAACAGTCAAGAAGCCTTCCGAGACATAGAGAGATTAAAAAGGGAGGGAGAAAAAATACGTAAATGGTAGAAAGAGTATTAAATGTGTTTACACCGGCAGTCTCGTGCTCATGTAAAAAAGTACCTATGTCATCTAAATTAAGAGATTGTATCTGTAAGTAAATTATCTGCGCATACCGCGCTAGATAACAGCTAAAAAGGGGGAAGAGAGAATAGATGAATCGCTGAAAGGCCACTAGAATATGATGTTTAAAAATGATACTGGCATGAATGTAATTTGGCAAAGCTCAAATTACCGAGTACGTATCGGATATTTTTTTTACTTTTTTCGTTTTTCTAGTAAACATTTGTCACATCGTACAACCGTTTTTTCTGTTCCATTGATTTTCTATGTTTCTTTTTCCTGTTCGAATCGAGTAACGAGCATTCACACACTCAGCGTTAAAGCCAATTTGAAAAAATACAATTTGTTCACTAGTCAAGTTCAGCTAGATTGTTCTTTTTCTTTTAGCTTAAATATTACGTAAAACAACGAGACTATTACCATTGTTACACGTCACTGACAGCTAAAAGCCCGTGGAACAAAACGGTTAAATTTTGTTCACTAAATCTTTTTTAGTGACAAATCTTCGGTTTATTTTTTCCTTTTTTGTTTTTGTTTCTTCGTTTTATCATCTTCATTACTTCTAAGCCTTTCCGAACAGTAATCTAGCACCGTTCTAGAAACTTTCACTGGTGACTGATTTTCTTACATCATTAAGAAAACAGACAACGACCACCATTTCTTTTAACGCGACAAAATACGTGCGACACCGAAAGAACAATTTGCGCGTGTATGTACAACGATCGCCCGTCGCTCTCTAGCTGCAAGCGTAGAAAATTTTGTATAAAAATATTCTTCGTATTCGTGTATATATATGTACATATTTTGAATAACCACGTAATTAATACTGCGTATTTAATATCATCGTTCCTTCGTGCGCTCTGCACCACGGGCTTGGTAGCTCAAGGGATAAATACACATCCCAATATTCTACCACCTCAAATTCTCGAGACCGTGGAAAAGAGAAAAAGAGAGAAAAAAAGAGAGCTCAAAAAAGAGGATCATGGACGAGAATTAGTGGCAGAAAGGAGAAGGAGAACAATCTCGTCTTCTACACCCTGTGTATCACCGGACAGACTATTCTGTCTAGAGATTCTTTGTAATATATATATGTACCTATAGCAAAGTCGTTCTGAAGCTGTGGTCGAAGTATTCTCAGTGTGCTTCTTCTGATAACGACGTCGCAACTAGGTTCAACGGTACGTCCGAAACATTCTCTGCATCTCCCTCCTCTGTTTCCTCTGCCTCCGCAGATAAATGACATTGTTCTCGCCCCTCTGCCTTTACATGCTGTTCAAATGTCGATTTAATTAAAATAGGTGATAAAAGCACCCTACACTTTTCCATAAATCAGAGCACGATAAATTGTTTTACGATACTTACGTGCATCATGTAACTAGGTAGAGGAAGGGAGTAATTAAGTTGAGCGGTAGGTACTGGTGGATGGGCACCAGGTATACGTGGTGGCGTTAATGCCGCCATCATTAAATGGGGCTGAATTTGTCGTCGAAGGGCCGCTAACATGTCTGCACTTTCTGCGTCCATTTGTTCCGACTGTGGTGCCAAAATTGTGTCACCTTTTTCTAAGAAAAAAGAGAAAGAAAATAAAAATAAAAATGTCCATAATCACAATTGAAATATCCGAAAATTCAGGAAAAAGAAAAAAAAATTATCGAAATATTTGCAACGCATACTTCGATGCCTTGTCGGTTTCTCGCCTTTGGGTCTACGTCTACGCGTGTGTATTGTATCCCTTCGCATGGTAGATGGACGATTCACTCCGTGAAGTTTGTAATAGAGCCCACAAGCATTACAAACCATTTCCCCCTTCATGTTTCTTCTCCAAATAGTTGTGGTCATGGTGCCGCAATTTGTGCAGGACATGTCTACCTTTTTCGCCATGTTACCACTGTGTTGATCGAACTGTGGTTTTTGGTCCTCTACCTGCAAGCGTGAAAGAGCAAGTTAGAACGCATTCCATAGCGGTATTACAATTTTCATATCATTGATCCTACCTTTAATTTCATTTTATTTGACCACGTCGTGAAATCTTGTGCTTGCTCTTCGTTAGACTCGTGCTGATAATTAACGACATCCGGACTCATCGGTGCTTTACTGGGATAACTTTGTTTTCTACGACCCTTGGTCTCCTTTCGACCAACACTGGCGGGGCTAGACGGATTACTGTCCACGGAAGTACCCTGGATAAATGAAAAAAATCACACCAGATTAATTATGCAATACTCGTATTCATCGGTATAATTATTTTAAAATTGATTTTTAATAATCGACCGTAACGCAAAGAAGGTTCGTAGTTATAAAATTCTTTCGACACAGGTAAGTTTACCCACGGGTAAAAGTAGTTCCCCGTAGGTACCTGTTATCAGGACAAAAAGCCAATATAATGGAAAGTGGCACAAAGGATAGTACAATCCTGTTTCTTATTATAGGAGAAATTGAAGAATTCCTCACGCGGAACAAAACGCGTTTTAAAATCTATAGAAACCCAACTTATCTGAACATCTGTTAACAGCGGGTTGACATGGTGGGCTTAGCGCTTATGGCCTATCACAAAGAGCGTCTCAGTTATCTATTATCTACAAGGCCTACCACGTTTCTTACCTGCAGGCAGATGGGACCTGAATAGCCCCAAAGGGATCCCTTGACACCCAAGGGTCACCTGACCTGTATTCTTTTCTATACCTGCAGTTCTCTTCTGGTATTTGCATTGAACAAACTGCAAGGACTTCCCATAGAAGAACTTTTATTTGCACAGAGATCAGGGTCAAAAGAGTAGAGACATAAAAGGGAGTAAAGATTTTCCATTTTTCAATAAATCTTAGAATTCTTCCTGACTGGTGTATAACTTCGAAAAAAGAGTCAGCTTTTACAGCTGTTTGTAATGACGCTAATATATTACATATTTCATTAATATCCAATTATGATAAATAACTTGTAAATAAATTTGCGAAACCCTGGAGAGGAATGGAAGAGAAGTTCTTATGATTTCTTTTTTTTTAAACGCCGTAAACACGAATACACTGGTAGAGATTTGAATGTAAATACTATCTCGATTTATACAAACCTTGTTTTCTATACACGGGACATTAGTACGATTGCCCAGTACAGAACAGTCGGGTACAGTACGTTCGATCGTTGTCCCTTGGGTGTCCCTATAAAACCTAATTTGCGGTGATACTCTGTCAGAATCAACAGCAGTAATACCGATTTGTCTGTTGTTGATTAAAGAACGCAGCAGATTAGTTGCCTCGCCAGTAAATCCATTATTCAGTTTGTCACCGTTTGTCCTGGTAATCTCTAAACTCCTGTTGCTATATGAAAAGTAAAAGCAAACGATATGTTTTCCGGTTACACAAGAGTCCGATAATATTTTAATAGGGATCGCGTAAACGACAACAAATAAGTTCCTTTGTAGTTAATGAAGTGTTGAAGCTAACATCAGATAATGAGAAATTTATCTTATCTTTAAAGGGTCAACCTGTTGCAAGTGGTAGTTACTTTGGTAATCCGAAAAGTAAATATATATTAAACATACAAGATTATGTTTGAATAGTCTTGATTTTACCGACAGTAAAAATCTACATATATTTGGTCTTTGATATTGTTCAAATATATTTTCACTAGATAAATATAGACATGCAAACGAACGTTGATATATCGCTATTTAAGTATACAGTTTTACTAACATAGTATCAGATAATTTTCTTTTACAATCAAATGTCAAAGAAATGTATGAAATGTGGAGTACTTACTTTGCTAATGCTTGCCATAGTTTTGTTGTTTCTTGATCAATATTTGTATCTGAACAATTGCTTTCTGGTGTATCCATTCTGTTCACTGGACTACGATTAGGGGTACTTGTTTTTGATTCCTCATAATTTGTTTCTACTTTCATTCTCTTGTTAATGGTCATGTCATAACCATTTTCTTCCCCCTCTGTATCCTGCTCATCTCGATCTTCTATTTCTAATCTGTCTGGATCAGAACTGTTTGAACACGTATCATCCTCTGGTTCACACTTAATGTTATCATGCTCAGGCATGTCATTGGTGCGCAACTCCAAATGATGTGTTTGCGTCTGAGGTATAACGTTTTGATTAATGCTGGCCGGAGAGTTAGGCTCCTCATTGAACAGTGTTTTGTTCAATTGGAGAAATGACTGTAGAGGGCTTAAGCCTGCTACTTTGGCAGTGGAGAAAGATTTCTTCTGAAACAAAACAAATTACTACTCATTACAAGTTTACTCAAATAGAAAATATTAAGTACTCTAAATATGTCTCACAAAACAAAAATGTAACAGTAAAGCAAGGATTTAAATTATTCAAGGGATTACATTCACATTTGATTTCTATTTAAATACTAATGAGAGGAACACTTATTAATTTTTGCATACACTTACACACAGTTTAAAATAATGATTTGTCATTTGCACCTATTTAGAACTCAAGAAAAAATAATTCACACTTATAAGAAAATAATTACTTATGCACATCATTTTTTTATAGTGCAATCACTATCAAACTGATAAGGTTAAAGTTGACTGCATTAAAGAAAACCTTGAAGTGTCTTACATAATTACTGATATATCAGGGCACAGAAGCAAATAAACAGTATCCTGCATGTATTAAAGATGTGTCTAGAGTATATGGAATGTGCATGTGTTGAAGCATTCTTATCTACAATCACATGTTGCACGTTCTCAGTTGCATCATTACTTGGAATGGAATGACTGCTCACTACTGTTTCTGTGTTAAACTAATTTTTACTCTTCAACCAAAGGATGATATGATTCATATCGTATAATGACCTATGTCAACAAGTTCTAATACACTTTTATTCACTGCATTTAAGAAAGCATTTAATGAATACCTGATCATCGTGTGATGATAACTGCTTGGCATAATCCAGGTACTGTTTGAGTATGACATCAGATTTGTGTGACACTTCACGGAAGTTGTGCAGCACATCCAACTTGTACACACACCGGTGACAAATGATTGGTGGCAAAGAATCTCCATCTTTTACCTGAATAAAATGCAATTGCAACACTGCTTTTTCAATAGAATACTATATCATTTTATTTATTTCTGATAAAAAAACCTTACAGTAAATTTAATTCATCCTTATAATACTTCTTTATGAAGATCAAGGAATAGTGATAAAATACACATCATAAAATGTAGAGCTAATATTCATTCTAATCATTACATGTTAAAGTGCATTTTCTTATCAATCGTTTGAATATGATTTGCAACGTAAAAAACAATGGAAATAAATTTCTTGTAATTCGAACGAACAAAATATGGAGATGGAAAATTCGGCATAATCTCGATTCGTGCAAAAAGTATCACGAATCACGGAGGGAGAAGAGAAATACGAAGTAGAGTCGAATGTGACAGCGACTCGTGGAATCCGCGTGTGAAACCTGATAACAGGCCGTCTAAATAAGGAGCTGCTCCCCTCCCCGTGAGATCTGCACAAGCGAGGAGCACAGCTTATCACTGCCATTTTAAATGCCCCCGTGAGTCGGCTTATCTCGCGGACACATCTCTTGCCAAACTTTCTCCCGTGGCACGCGCACACACACACGCACCCTTGAGACAGCGAGAGGAACAGAGATAGAAAACGACGTGGACAGAGACAGACGAGGCGAGACGAAGAGAGAGAGATAGGAGTGCGCGCGAGAGAGAGGGAGACACTCTGAGTGGCGAGAACCACAGATGGTCGCGTCTGATTTATCATCGTCTCAGCACGAGGACCCGGTGAAAACTCACAAGGAGACTTACCGTAATCGAGAGGCACGTCAGTATCTTATCGGCGAAGTTCCGCTGGGCGCCCTCCTCTTCGAATATGGACAATTTGACACCGTCCGACGATAAACAAAGGCGACACAGCTCGTAGAACTTGGGCGGTACATCGAACATAATTGTGAGCTCCGGCTACGTTGCGCCTTGCGTAAAGCGCGAGTCATCAAGAGGTAGACTCTTTCCTTGGCCGACGTACTATCTTTCTCCACTGCCACTACGCGTTTAGCGACGAGGAAGGGTACGCGATCACTTATCACAGTCACCGCCGCGGCTCATTGTCAGCGGCACAGTACACACGGTCATACAGTTAGACCTTCCACATAGAGGGGAGACCACGAAGAAACGAATGTTCCTCTGCTTCGTTTTTACGATCCTGCTCACTGGGAGGCGCTGACGAACCGTTCTCTATCACCAAGATCGCACTGGTTTCACTGGAATCCACAGACTCCCGATCGAACGTTACTGCGCCATCTCCCGTCTCCTGTCATTTTTCTGGACCATCTGTTTTTTTTTTCTTCTTTTTGTTACACTTGTTATGTAATTAATTTTACGAAAAGTATGAAATGTATATAATTACTATAAGGGTGTAATTGAAAGAAAGAATTTTATTGTTTACGTTATATGATTCGTTGATCCTGTCATTCCTCTGAAAATTATGCAAGTCCTTTCGTGGTCTTGGCAACCGATACACGTTCCAGTTTTCAGATTACGTCGTTCAACTTATTCGCGTAACAGATACTTCTTCCTCATTTCTATGCACCTTCTAAAACATAACTGTACTTTCGTATCGTGAATTATGAATTCAGGATACAGAAAATCACGGTACTAAATATCACGGTAGTTGCGAATCCATAGTTAAAGCGGCAAAATGGTTAAATGCATTTGCTAAAAATCAGTTTATCTTGTTGGGCGGAAAAAATTTGAAAAATAAAATCTTTTGCAAATTATATATGTACATATATATATATATTATTGCTACAAAATTAATTGTTTAAGTAACTGAAATTGACAGAATCATTAAAAAGATCTTCTGTCTGCGTTATGTTGTGAAAACGATTAAAAATTTAATTGACAATACTTTAGTTCAATGTCACGTGCTGATCAGAGATCAACAAGCAAATCGATGGTAGAAACAGGTTTCTTATCACGCGTCATTTTACTAAGAATTTCATTACATCGAATAAGTAGCCCAACCCATAAATAAATCAGACAAACGGGGGGAATGACTAACGCATGATTACGCGACCCATCAGCCACTTTCGGCCCACGCTATTTTATCACACGTTTAATCCGATCTTCGTACGTATAAGGTCCTGATACGGCGGTTTATGGATTCTGAGCCATGTTATGATTTAGACGTCACGCTATCAATCAACCTCGTGCAATTAAAATACATAAAAATTATGTTTTTCTAAGAAATGCAATAATTATGAAACGATATAAATTCATTTAATTTATCGTTGCGAACATTATATAACTGCAATTAACTTTTGTCTTATTCCTTATCTACTAATAGTTAGTGCATACTCGTTAAATTGTTTGCATCTTTATGTATCAACATATAGCTTTTATTATTACCGTGTATAACAATATTTACACAAATGTACAAGTGACACACATTTTTAGTAAATGTATGCTTAAATCACACAACATATCAGATTAAGAATTAAATTATTACCTCACTTTAAAGAAATAGAGTTTACTTAATTTTTTCTAAGTTTTACACTTTACAAAACAAGTAGTTCTGAAAATTAAACATTGCTGTATGTGTCATTTCTTGCTATTTTATGTCTGTGGTAGTACCAGTTTCATTTCTCTGTTCTATCATTAAACATCAGGAATATTAATCAGAGATGAGTAATTCTAACATACGTACACTCTCTGTATAGAACCATGATGCACTGAAAAAAATAGTCTTATCAATGAGTTACTATCTTTGTTAGAATAGCAACTATAAATATCATTTTTTTGCAAAACTGTTATAAAAATTTAAATAAAAAGGTACAAATGTACACTTTTTACAAGTGATACGTACAACTTTTTGCATTATTTAGTAGGGAAT